ACAAAGACTGACAGCAGAGCCAAACCCAGGCTCTGGATGCTGGTGTCCTGGTCCTTGCATCCCAGCAGCAGCCCAGTTTGTACCACATCACCCAACAGTGTGAGAAGCATCTCAATGAGCTTATAAAACCCCTCAGTCCTACCTAGAGGTTTAGCCATGTCCATGCATAAGACTCAGCTGAGGCATGTGGGCTCTTCAGAACCCATCCAAAGAGCTTCCCCATCCTTTGGGAATGGGAAGCACTCACAAGAACACACCAAGCCCAGCTGGGATAGGTATTCCAAGCTTTCATCCTCTCCTCTGAAGCACAGCCAGGGCAGCCCCTCACAGCATGGCCCGTGAGCTGCTGCAGGAGCCCCTCATGCTGGCCCTGGCTGCTCCCTACTCTGATAGAAGAGCTACCACAGCTCATCTTGATTAGCAGGTACCCTATCCCACCATCCATCCCCGGGCACAGAGGAGCAGGATTCCTTTCCCCACTTCTACCCTGCAAAGACAACACCCACCATGTGGTTTCCTGACATAACGGAGATACTTGTCAAGGCAGCAAGAACCCATATGTGGGAAGTGGCCTCCTCTGAGCTGAGCTCTGTCAGTGCTGGTGCTCTGGGGTAAGGCTGTCACCCTGTGGGGCCAGCAGCAACACCTCACACACTGCAAAGCATCAAAGGCACATGTGAGACAGCTCTGGCTCAGAGCTGAGGTGGCCTCATCTGGCAAACGGTCAGCCACAGGGTGCAAAAACACACAGGAGAGATTGTCCTGGCCCAGCTTTAATGCTGACAACTGACATATAAGAGAGACAGTACCCACCTTACTGTGCAGTGCTTCCTCCCACAGCCTGAAGGTCTGAATCTCTTGAAGGAGACATTTAAAAGTCAGGCAGATACTTGAGGTGGGGAATGGGCTCATGGCCCAAGGGAAGATAGGCCAAATGTGGATGCAGGGGTCAGCAAACAGGGATAATTGTGGGTTTGCTGCAATTACACATTGCATTTGCCATCTCTTGGTCCAGGATGAATGAGAAGAGAGGGATTCAAGAGAGATCAAGGTCAGACATCTCAACCTATGACTGCTCCATCCATGTGACACCTGGCAGTGTCCCTCTGCCTGGCTCCTCAGACCAAGATCTGCTGTTGCTCAGAAAGAGAAGTTCACATCTAATGGGTTCACAAAAGCAGCTGAACCCACTCCTCATCACCTTTGGACCCTAAAGCTTCAAACAGGGACAGAATGGAGAGCATCATCCCCTGAGTCACCAATGAGGCAGGATGAGCTGACCAGAGATCTGCAATAGTTCTTGGCAGCGCTGCCTCTGGGCAGCCTGGAGGTGTGGGTTTACATGCTTGGTGGATGAGACACGGCACTGACTCAGGAACACAGCATGAGCTGGGGGAATAGGAAGGAACAGTTTTTACATCAGTGTTGAAATAAAAGGCCCAGCAGGTATCAGTCACCCCAGGCCTGCCTGAAGCAGTGAAGATGCTCCAACACTCTGGTTTGGCCAGAGCTCTGAGACCTCCACACTGTTGCAGGCTCATCCCCAAGGATGTGTAGCAGGGAAGGAGCACCTTCAGGCTCCACTTCCAGCACAGACACTGCTGTATGGCATCACCTCAAGCAGGATGCTGGCTTTGCTGCCTGCTCAGAGCTGCCTATAGACATCACATCTATGAAGCTCAGCAGCTGAACCCCAGTACTACCTGCTCAGAGCCAATCCTGCCATGCCTGGGAGTGTGCTGCACCCTTGAGGAGCCCTATGAAGCACACACTCCCCTATGAAGAGATGCATTTTATCTCCTGTTGTAACCCTGCTGCCCTGCACTTCAAACCCCTGGCTCTTGCTGTTAGATCAAAGAGCCCTCACCCACCAGCCACCTCCTCCCCTCATGGTTATAGGTTTGACTCAACAGCTTCAAGCTTTACCCTCAGAAAACTCCCCATGAGCAGCCCCAGCTCACACACCGAGGTGCACGTTGCATCCTGGAAACTCTTCTCCACCCCCTGCCCACGTTGCATGGGTTTGGAAAGTGAATGTAAATTCCAGATGGAAGCCCTGGGCACTATCCAGAGCTCCCACACCTCACTGGGAGCACAGGCAGGGCCAAGACCAAACAACAAAGCCAGTAAGAAACGTGCCAGGGGTTTACTTCAAGGGGCTTTAACCAATATATGTGTACGTTAACAGCAGTTCTGTTGCTTTAGAGATGAGGAGAATAACAAAGAAATAATATTCCTCAAAACAGTAAGGAAAATGCTAAAACAACAGCAGGAAGATGGCTGCAAGATCTCTGCAGCCCAGTTCTCATTCCCGCAAGGCATAAACCAATGTCCTTGCAGGGGGAAAAATACCCAAACTCTGAGCTGGGCAGTTTATTCCCTGCCTGCCCAGCAGCTTCCTCCACATACCAACTGTGTGTCACTGTCAAACTGCAGGATGAAACCCCCAGAGCTGGGGGCTCATAGGAGCTCTGTGGCACAAGTGGGTGCAGGGAGGGGTTTAATGGCATCCTCACAGCTCAGGGGTGCAAGAACTGAAATTCACTGATCAAGTTGCTCAGAAATAACATTGTGGTGAATGCCCCATCCCTGGCAGTGCTCAAGGCCAGGTTGGACACAGGGGCTTGGAGCAAGCTGCTCCAGTGGAAGGGGTCCCTGCCTGTGGCAGGGGGGTGGAAATGGGTAAGCTTTAAGGTCCCTTCCAACCCAAACCAATGTGTGACTGGTCACAACGTGCCCTCTGGTGGCAATGGTGCTCGGGTGGCTTGGGCAGAGCCAGACAGTGTCAGTGATGGCACTATGACATTTGAGAACACAAACAACAGGGGATCCCCCTTGGGCTGTTGAACACATGGTGCAGAATCCAACCCCTACATCAAACTCCCTCAGAGCCTTGAGCCTCCCCTACCCAAAGGGCTCAGAGTCATCAGTTCCCACTGTTCTTTTCATATATGAATTTCAGCAACTTCCCAGCTTCTCCTCTGGGCCTGGACATGCAGAATAAATGGTAAGCTGGATCTCAGTGCTAATGTTCTGTTGTGTGGGGTCACACACCTGGGAATCCCAATTCCTACCTCTGCATGGGAATCAGAGTAAATACACACAAGCTTTTTCCTTTCCCAATCTGATATCAGTGTAAGTGGGTTTTGGTGTTGGACAGATGGGGACAGGCACAGGAATGTGGGGACAAGCACAGGACAAACAAGCACATGGGAATGAGTGTGGGAAGAGCTTCCCCAGGGTACCACGCCACCAACAAGAAGATTTTGCTGTCAGATGCTGCTTTTGATCAGCTCTGAAAGCAGCTCACAAGGAATCCCAGTGCTTACAGATGGGAAAATGACTAGAGCTCAGAATAATACAACACATCAGCCCACTAACCACAGCCCCCTGAGCATCCCACCCAAAGCCCTTCCCCAGCCAAAGCTTCATGAGTATGAAGAGTTACAGACTTGAGCAGTTTGTGTTTCTGAACTTTACCTCTGAAGTTTGGGGAAGGAATTCAAAAAGTACCTTCCCAAGAGAGCAGAAAACAAGCTCAGGGCTGGGAAGGGTTATTTACCCAATAGCTCCCACATATGAGAAAACGGGGTAATGCAGGACATAGGGAGAGAAGCAGCAAAAGGTGTTAGAGGGGCAGGCACAAGCCAGTACAAGCAGCAAGTGGGGCAGAGGGAAGCGAGGGGCTCTACAGATCAGGGGTTGATTCTCCACAGAAGGGTGCTAGGTCTCAGTCCATGCCCTTCAGGATTGTGTCTATGCTTTACACGAAGCAGTTTGGTGCAGAAACACTCCTGAAGGCAGGGACTGAAGCCAGGTTTGCTTCATTCTACACAAGGGCTGTAAATAACAGACTGACAAAGTGACATTAACAAAGTACTGGAGACGAGATCAAGAAGAGCCAACAAGCAATAAACCAACCAGGAGTTATGGATCAGTTATCTTGTGCTGTATTTATACTGCACCTTTCCAATCTGTGAGGTAACACAAGTAAGTATCATCCTCTCCACTGCACAGACAGGGAGGGAAGAGACTGAGGAGAGTGACCAGCAGAGACCAGAGCAGAGCTAGGTCCTAACCTGCACATCTCAAACACATACATGGCCCTCCTTCATATCTTCTGCCCCAAACACTTCAGGATCTGCTCCACAGCACTGCCCCCTGATGATCTTTGTTCACCTGCTGAGTGTATTACAAGGAGGAGATGCTGCCTTACTCAGTACTCTGATGGACACGTTGACCACCAAAGCACCTGCCCACACTTTCTTCCCCACTTATACCCTACAAGAACAACTTGCACACTGGTGGAATTAACTCGATGCAAGCTGAGATTCAAGGTCATGGTGCTTCTCCTGGTACCACAGCAGCAACCAGCCTGCGACTCCTACAGACATTTCAGGCACAGCCCAAGCCTGCAGCAGCATCCCACGGATGTTTTCAGTCCATATCTGCCAGAGTTCACTTCTTCCCATCCAAACAAGGGGCTGACAATTCTCAAGAGTTACCCAGCAAATTACAACCTACTATGGTTAGGAACTCGCATGTCCCCCATTCCAGCTTCATCTACAATGGCATCTTACTCTCTAGCATGCAGACCTCCACAAGTCCCTCAGCTGCAAGCCCCCCAAGGGTCAGCACTTATTAACGCAGATCTACATCTCTTCTTTACATGCGATGGGCTGAGACCCTGCCCTACCTCCACCACAGAGCCCTGGCAGGGACGGACCTCCCTGCTGAGTGACAGCAAAGGCGCTGCCTCCCAGCTTGGCAGAACCAACCTGGGAATTCACACAATTCCCTGGGAATCCACACAGGGAAACTGCAACGAGAAAGAGCCTCCCAGGGAAACCCCCCTGACCACCTCAGGTTAAGTTAAGATCTTCAGCACAGTTCCACTCCACCAGCCCTCCTCCAACAGCATCACTTGTCTGTGCACGCCTAAGGCATCAGAGTGACCTCTAGATCACACTTTCAGTCTCCGAAACGCCGTCTCCTCCTACCTTTGATGCTGAAGCAGGATCCTTCTGCAGGCATCTTCGCTTTGAAGAATCCAGCCTCCCCCTTCCTCTGCCTCCTCGCTTCCCATACCGGTGAGCAGGTTTTGCCGCTGTTGAAACACCAGTGGAAGCCGCGTTCTCACCCCAACCAAACCCCAGCAGCGCCTTTCACTTCCAGCGTGGCAGATGTTGTTTACACCGCTGTTTTTCCCCTCTCACATGCAGCAATAGGTTCACACGAGGTTCGTGCTCTCCCACACACGTACTCAAAGCAGGAAGCGAGGGGTGGCAGCTGTAGCACGGTGGTTTCCTGCGCTCTCTTGCTGAAAACAACGGACACCACAGCTTTGATCTAGGAGATCTCAGCACACGAGCTGGAACACTGAGGCCCGGCTTGGAGCGCGTATTGCTCCACATAGGAAAACCCAAGGCTACGGGGTCCCTGGGCGCTTCTCAAGCGTTAATAGGGAATGTTTTCCTCAGGGACACGGCTGTTCGTGGGCGGCGGCACCGCGGGGTGGTCTCTCTGGGCCCCCAGATGGTGTGAGGGCCCCGGCAGCAGCACATCCACGCGAAACGCGGCCGGTAATCCCGGCCATACGGACAGGCCCTTCCCCAAGGCCGGGCCGCATCCCCCCCGCTTCCTCACACACTACAGATCCCATAATGCTCCGCGCGAAACAAACAGCGCAACCTGCGCATGCGTACAACTCTCTTTGGCTCCAAGATGGCCGACACAGCGACCGGTAGCTCCGGCACGGTAACGGCGGATTCTTACCGGGAAGCGGGGAGGCTGCAGAGGGAGGATCCCGGGGCACCGGGCGGGGCGGCAGCAAACCGGTGCCTCCACGGCGTTGAGGAGGCTGCGGCCTGCCCACGGGGCTAAGAGGCGGAGGCTGAGGGGAGGGGCGCGCTGATTGGCTGAATGACCGTAGGGAGGCGGGACTCGGCAGCTGGATTTGATTGGCCGAGAAGGGGCCGCGAGGTGCGCGTGGCAGCGGGGCGGCTGTTTTAAAGGGGCCGCGTTCTGCTGCACCCTGTCTGTATGTGAATGTATGTGTGCGTATGTATGCATGTATGTGTAGATATGTATGGATGTATATGTGTGTATACGTGTGTGTAGGTATGTATGTATATGTGTGTATGCATGTGCATGTCTATATGTACATGTGTATGTATACGTGCGTGTGAATGTATTTATGTATGCGTATGTATGAGTGTATGTATACACGTGTTTTGAAGTATGTATACATATGATTGCGTGCAGATGTATGCATGTGCCTCTATGTACATGTATGTACGTGTGTACGTATAAGTGTGTGTGTGTTTGTGTGCATGCATGTGTTTGTGTACAGATGTGTATGTGCATGTGTATGCATATGTAAGTGCGAATGTATTTGTATAGGTATGTATATGTGTGAGTGTATGTATACATGTGTTTATGTATGTATACATATGATTGTATGCATATGTATGAGTACCTGTATGTACATGCATGCGCATATGTGAGTATGTGTATATGTATGTATATGTATATATATGTGTACATGCATATGTACTTACATACATATGTATATGTACATGTGTCTATATATATGTGTGCATGCATATGCACTTGTGCATATGTACATGTGTATGTATATATGTGTGTATGCACATATACTTGTGTATATGTACATGTGTATGCTTATGTACGTCTGTATATGTGTGCATGCACATGTACATATGTATATGTACATGTGTCTTTATATATATGTGTGTATGCATATGTACATGTGCCTGTATATATATGTGTGTGCACATGTACTTGTGTATATGTACATGTATGTATATATGTGTATATATGTGTGTATGCACATGTACTTGTGTATATGTACATGTGTATGCACATGTACTTGTGTATATGTACGTGTATGTATATATGTGTATATATGTGTGTATGCACATGTACTTGTGTATATGTACATGTGCATGCACATGTACACGCATGTGCGCGGCGCGGCGGCGGGGTCCGCTCCGTGCGCGCCGTCCCAGCGGGGCTGTTGGTGCCGCAGCGGGCGGGCGGGAAGCAGGCGAGCACCCCGGCTGATAACTACTACCTGGCTCGGAGGAGGACGCTGCAGGTGGTGGTGAGCTCCCTGCTCACCGAGGCCGGCTTCGAGAGCGCCGAGAAGGCGGCGGTGGAGACGCTGACGGAGATGCTGCAGAGCTGTGAGTGCCCGGAGCTCAGCCCCAGGCTCCTCCTTTCTCCGCTGTCCCACTGGCTCCTCACACCTCCATCGTTTGGGTCATTTCCCCCCCTTCCCACCCCACCCTGGTTTTATTCCCTGGTGTTATAAATCACCTGTGTGCTTGGCTGCATCCTGAGCAGCAGGTTGAGCCTGGAGGAGAGAAGGCTCCTGAAGGGGAGACCTTAGAGCAGCTCCAGTGCCTAAAGGGGCTGCAGGAAACCTGGAGAGGGGCTTGGGACAAGGGATGTAGGGACAGGCCAAGGGGAATGGCTTGAACCTGCCCGAGGGGAGACTGAGCTGAGCTCTTAGGCAGAAGCTCTTCCCTGTGAGGGTGCTGAGGCGCTGGCACAGGGTGCCCAGAGGTGTTCATGCTTTGATTTTGTCCATGCATCAATTTTATATCCTGTAAGACACTGGATTCTAGGAGCTATTTTTCATTCCTTGCTAATTTTGCTAAAGATTCACTTGTCTGAAGCTATAAGCATGTGCTCAGTGCCTGACTCAAAGCTCTGGTGGGGTTTGTTGGCTTTTTCTCCCCATAGATATCTCTGAAATGGGAAGGAGCGCCAAGTCCTACTGTGAACACACAGCCCGGACACAGCCCACGCTCTCTGATATCGTGGTTACCCTGGTGGAAATGGGTGAGTGGTTGATGGGAGCCCCTGATTCCAGTAGCTGCGTTGGTAGGAAGCTCTGTTCCCCCCTTTCTGGTGTTTGTAGGCTCCATATAACTGGATGCAGTATGAATATATGCAGAGTGCATCATCTTCTTTCTCCTGTCATTTAGAACCCTTGTAAATAAACGTGGTGAAGCTCAAGAGGGGTGAATTGGGGCAGGATAAACTCCTCGTGTGATTCCTGTCTCCTCTTTTGTGTCCTAGGGTTCAATGTTGAAACGCTTCCCGCATATGCCAAGCGCTCGCAGAGGATGGTCATCACTGCCCGTATGTGGGAAATCCCTTCTTTCCTTATGCAGGAAACTGGAAGTAATCTGGCATTTCCCTCTGGTGGTGTCCAGAGAGCTCCAGCTTTTCTGATGGGGGATGCAGGCCAGTGCTCCTGGAAGTGCTGGTTGGGTTAAGGGCTCCTGTAGGTGGAGGGAGGCAGCCTCTGCCTTTGCTTTAGTGTTCTCAGTGCGCATGAGAGTCCTCAAGGTGGTTTTGTTCTCGTTGGGTAGGAGAAAGGAATCAAGTAACGCATGTTCCCTTCTGGAATGAGAAACACAATGGGAAATTACTGCTTGTGGGGTGTGCTGGAGGGGGGGTCACAGCTCGGTGTGTGCTGGTGCTTTATGCCTCACTCTTGGCAGAGTGAAGCTGCTGATCCGTGTGTGTGTTTTCCTGCAGCTCCTGTGACAAACCAGCCCGTGACTCCCAAAGCCCTGACAGCCGGGCAGAACAAGCCACATCCATCCCACATTCCCAGCCATTTCCCGGAGTTTCCAGATCCTCACACTTACATCAAGACACCGGTGAGTGAAAGCAAAGACTTCTATGTCATTTGGGGCCTGTTTGAAGTCAGTGACAGCACTTGCTGTGGGTTTCTGACATCTCGAACTTGCACCATAGGTCAGTGCTGGGGGTGAATTTTGGCTGTCTAATGGTGCTCTTTACCTTTCCCTCCCTCCACAGACATACCGGGAGCCTGTGTCTGATTATCAGGTCCTGCGGGAGAAGGCAGCATCGCAGCGGCGCGATGTGGAGCGAGCCCTGACCCGCTTCATGGCTAAGACAGGAGAAACACAGAGTCTCTTCAAAGACGATGTCAGTACCTTCCCCTGTGAGTACCTGTAAATGACAGTGTAACCCCCTTAAAGGTCTTGCTACCGCAGGAGGTGAGTGCTCATGTTGTGTTTGCCCTTCCAAGGCACTGGAAGGCTGGGAAATGAGGAATTCTCTATTTAAAATGGGGATGAACAAGAGAATCAAAGGCAAGTGGTAGGCTTCCACCCTCACCAAAGGCTCGCTTTCTTCTCGTGGCTGATAGGTGCTAATTTCAAAGCTCATCCCAATCCTGTCTCTGCCCCTCTGTAACTTCTGGACAAGTGATTTCTTCTCTCTCACATTCCTGTGGTAGGCAGTGAAGGTTTTCCTGTTTCTCTGTCCATAAAGCAGTGATGAGAATTCCCACTTTCCCAGGCTCACTGGTGGCACAGGTTCCAAAGTTATCTTAAGGGGAACTAAGCAATGCTTATGATATGATATGAGGTCAGGAAGGACTTTTTAGGTCGCTATAATGCTGGAATCATAAAGGGGCCTCAGAAAGTAGAAAGTTAGAGACTGCTATCTCTTAGGGACAGGGATATTTCATTCCTGATCCTTGGGAGCAGCAGGAAAAGAGTGTGTCTATGTTTAAAACCAGAACCAGTGACAGTGTTTGGTCTAAGTAACTGGTTGGCTTTGTGCTTCATGCTGCCTGTGTTGAGGAGTCTTCTCCCAGCTTGCTGACTGTCTTTTGCCCTCACCCTAGTGATTGCTGCCAGGCCTTTCACTGTCCCCTACCTGACAGCTCTTCTCCCCTCTGAGCTGGAGATGCAGCAAATGGAAGAGACGGATTCATCTGAGCAAGACGAGCAGACAGACACTGAGAACCTGCCCCTGCACATGAGCACGGTATGCTCAGCCAGGGAGGTCGAGGTCGCTGGGGTCTGACGTTCTTCACCTTATGAAACCTGGTTCTTCGCCTGTCTTCCTTGCAGCTGGGCAGAGTGGGTGGAAATGGGCAGCGTGGGTTGTGTTTTACCAGGTGTAAATGGCTAAACCCTGTCATGGTTCTTTTAACTTCCTGCAGGGTGCAATGCAAAATGAGCTAGGATCATGACCTTTGGTTTCAGTGTGATTGTCCCACACTGTTCCTGAAGAGGGTGGTTCTTGTGGTAGAAATCGAGTCCTCACCTTTAACGCAGCGGTGTGCTGCTGTTTGTCTTGGCTGTTGCTGTTGCTCATCTGGTTTGCCCATAGCTTATATGGTTTGAACTTCTAAGTCTTGTTTAACCTAACTTTGGTTGTTTACACCTATGTTGGCAGGATGATTCAGGACCTGAGAAGGAGAACGCTTCGGTGTTACAGCAGAACACCTCCCTGTCAGGCAGCCGGAACGGGGAGGAAAACATGATCGACAATCCCTACCTCCGGCCAGTGAAGAAGCCCAAGATCCGCAGAAAGAAGTGAGGTGTGTGGCCAGCTGGCTGCTCAGAGGAAGAGAAACCTGGAGGGGATTTCACTTGCACAGCAGTGGGGAGAGGCATGGAGCAAGACAGGAAAGGCAGAAGCAGAATGAGCTCTCTCTGCCTAGTGAACCGCACTCTCATCTTGGTCTGCAATGCTCCCTCTTCTCCCTCTGCTCTCCTGCTGACTTAGAACAGTCAATTGCCATAAAAGCATTGAAGGCCACTGGGTTCCAGATGGGAATTGTCTGGTTTACTTTGGTTTGTTCTCACTGGTGTAGGATTTACTCTCGGAAGAGATGGGGGACATGGAAGGTTCTTGTTGCTCAGTGCTTCCCCATGGGCTTTGCAGGATACAAAGGCATCATTCATTTGTGGCTGGCTGGCAGGCTAGAAAAGAAACTTCTTCAACCAACCCTGCCTGGCCCTATAATCTAAGGAGCATGTATTAAGAGAGGCAGAACAATCCCAGAGAGGTTTCTTTCTTTGGATTCTTGGCAGGTAAAAGCAAACAGACTTTTCCTTTCTAAACTAAAGGTGGCTGGCGCATCGGTAAGAGAGCGTACAGAGTGAGGATGGCATTTTATTCCCACTTTTATATCTGCAGCTGCACTTCAAAGTGCTTAAGTGTGCTGTTTACCCTGTTCTGCTTTGAGGTTGTTTTCCAGCGGTGTGAATGGCAGGATTCAACAGCTGCTTCAGGCTATTTTTCAATTCTATTGTTAGTTTCAACACAGCACAACTCCTTGGAGAGTTCCTGCCTCCACCAGTTGGTTTGAAAGATGCTGTGCTAAAAAACTTGGAATATGGAATAAAGCTGTATGGATAAAGCAGTCCACAAGGCCATTCGATTGATTGCACTTTATTTTGTCCAAAACACAAGCTTTTAGCAATAGAAGTTGCTCTTTTTTTCCCCCCTCTTTATTTCCCTGGAGCAGAAGACTTTAGTTCAGCAGTGAAAATAACTGGTGATGGGAGTATTGTAATTGTTAGCTCCTTCTGGATGGCTTTGCTTCCATTTTCTTCAAGCTTTTCTTAGGCAAAATATGAGTTAAATTCCTTTGACAGAAGACTCCTGTAGTTTGGTCCGGTCTCCAGAGCATCTCTTCTGGATGAAGCATGGGGCAAGGAGAGGCAGCAGAGGCTTCCAGGCAGCTCATGGTTTCCTAGAGGAGTAGCTGAGTGCAAGGAGCCTCTTGCAGCCCCCAGGGAGATCAGGGTTCTGTGTGTACATGTTAAAGCATCCTCCCAAGCCTCCCTCTTCCCCATCACCCATGGAGGGGGGAGATAAAAAGGAGCGATTGCTTCAGTGAGGAGCATTCTGGACTCGGATCTCTAGCAAAAGAAGCCCTGCGTGTGCCATTGTCACTTCTGTGGTGCCTTGGTTGTACAGAGATGTTGTGTATGTTTGTATATATATAAAAATGTTTATCTTTTTTTACTTGGATTAAGCATTTTTGGTAATGAGAAAGCCCCTCTGGGGAGGGCAAAAGTGTAGAATGAAACCTGTGATTTCTATGTTCATAATAAAAGAAACTTTATCTCCTACAAGCAAAAACTGGCCAAGTCCTTGAAGTTTTAGGAGTGGAAAAGCATCTGAATGGGATAAACCCAGGTCTAAGACAGTGCAGTCTCCAGTGAATCGTACCCCTTCCTGCAAGAGATGGCAGCTGCACATCACCAAATCCCTTTGTGACAGCTGCTGCTACAAAGCAATCTCTTGTGGGTGTGAAGGGGCCAACGTGCCTAGGAAAGACAAGCAGGGCAGATGTGGGAGCACTTGAACACCAGAAGTGGGCAATTGGAAGGACACATTTCAGTTTTATAGCTGGGCTATAGGTAATTTGCTACAAAAACACATAAATAGACCCAAAATACCTGAAAGCCTGCATCGTGACAGGGAGTGATAATGAGAACGAGCACTGCCTGCCCTGAGTTTTCCCCTGAGGTTGAATCAAGCCTGTGATCACACAGATCCAGTCTGTGTGTGGAGGTTTGTAAACGTTTACAGCAGTCCCTGGGGTCTGAGCTGTGCATTACAGAAACAACTGATGATGAATGCCAGGACCTTTCTGTTTCAGGCTAAATTTAGCTTAATTAGCAGCATGTTGCTTGAGAACATCTTCATGACAAGAGGGAAAAAGCTGGTAATGCAGAAGCATGTCATACAAGGTCTGAGCCCTCCCATCCGCTTACCCTCAGATGAGTGCTACTTAATAGAGCTGCTGGCTGTGCACAGAGCCTGGATGTACAGCACCAGGTAAGCACAAACAGTGACAAGAAACCCCTCTTTCTGCAATGCCTTTATTGGGAGAGGCTGCGTAGTGCAGATGAGCATCTTCAGGAGGAGATGGGAAGCAAAAGTGAGGCCTGAGGTGCCTCTATGGAAGAGGGGGATGTGGCAGCAGCTCTGGCTCCTCAGCTGAAGTATAAACTCAGGTAGGCCACTCGGTTCCGGTGTCTCATGAATTCTTTGTCTATGGTTATCTAAAAGACAACTTAGCTATTGGCGATGCCAAGTGCTTCAGAACAGCACAGCAAGGTGTGAGATGGTGTCAAGAACCTTAAACCTATGTTTCAAATGGGAAAGGTTTTTCAGCAGATAAATCTGTGCTCCAGTTTCCTCTCTTTGTGGATGGAAACTTCCAGAGCAAAGGTCTTAACAGAAGGGGTTTATTTTGGAGAACAGTAATTGGTTTTGCACATTTTCAGATAGAAAATCACTTCATATCTTGTGCCCCAGGCTCATAGAGCCATGTACCCAGCAGCCCAGTGAGGAAATGATGCCAAAACACAGCGCAAACACGATGTAGCCATACAGTTTTCTCTATCAGAAGCATTAAGCAAGGAATAACATCCCCTTATCCCTGTCCTTACCTTTTGTACCTCCATTTTTAGCATCCTCCTCGGTGGCATCGGCACTAAAGACCAGTCTGGGGAGCCAAACTTCATTGGCCAAGTGATTCTTTTGTGTAATTGCTTGTCTGCTTTATAAGTTCCAGGTCTAAAGAAAACAGGCACAAAGTAGCTTGTTTCTGGAGCTGGAGTGTGATGCTTGCAGTACCAGATGTTACCCACCCTACCTTGATCCATGGGAGAAATGGGTGTTGTGGTATTCCAGCTGTGGAAAACACTAAAGACTAAAGCAGGGAAGCTTTTTGAAGTTAAAAAGAGCATTTCTGAGACCTCAGGAACCCATCTCCCGTTTATGTCTTAGTATTTCTCTCTGCTTATGATGGAAAACATAAGAAATTGAGTTACTTTACCCAGGGAATAATTCTCTATCTGAAGGCTTATGTGGAAATCGTGGTGTCTTAGTGGAAAACGGAGCATAGGCAGGCTGGCATTCCCTCTCTTTATTCCAGAATGGCTGGTACGTTGCTGGGCTGGGAGTCACAGTCTGCAAGAGAGAAGATGCTATAGGGAAGATCATTCCTGTATGCTGTGAGCAGCAGCCTGGGCATCACAGACCTGCTGTTCAGTGCACAAACCCCCTAGAATAGGTCAATTCTATACTCCCTATCCTTACCCTGTGTGTCCTATGATGTTTCTCCTAATAAATGGCTATTCTAGAGAAGCTGGACCAGAAGACAAGTGTTTGTTCAGGCAGGAGAGCTGATTTTGCCTCAATATGTCCACTTACATGTGTGTGTATGTGATACAAAGGAATGTGCTCATACAAATGCACGTGTGGATGTTGCTGGAGCTCATGTGTTCAATGATAAGTCCCTAGGCTCAACACCTACCACCACACTATGCGTAAGGAGATGTGTAGCCACTGTATATGTTAAACTGGAGGCAGTCCCAGCAAATGGGATCAAAACTGATCTCTGTTTTGGGAGCAGCCTCTTGCAAAGCTGCAGCTCTGCCACTTTGCCCCGTGCCTTTCTTACCTGTGGCTGTATTTGGAAACGCTGGGCTGTCCTTGCTCCTATCACATAGCCTCTGGTGCTCAGAGGTTTGTTTTCCAAGGAGTACCTGAAGCTGCATCTCTGCAATTCAAAAGCACAAGTGTCTTGCTGATACCATTTGCTTTAGGGGAAGGGCAGGAGGACATGAGCAGCAGATGTTATTCCTACTGATTCCTCTCCTTGCCATGGTCTTAGTGCTCCTGCCCTAGGTGTCTTCCATGAAGGAAAAGCTCCGAGCAGGAAAACTGCACTCACCTCTTGGCTCAGGTAGCAGCCTGGCCCAAGCGAAGGCTGTCCCCTGATGGACTTCAGCTGGATGCCCAGCCTGTCTGGAGCATCATGCAGAGGGAACATTTTCCTCTCTTGGCGTGTTCCAAATGCAATCGGCTTCTGCACATCTGGCAGACCAGGAGACAAAACCAGGCGCTGCTTTTTTCCCCTTCTTAGGTCCCTGAGGCTGAGCATCCCTTTATCTCCCACATAGGAATCTCCCCTGACCCTTTGGATGCCTGTTCCCTCCTGCCCCAACGGCTTCCTTTGATCCCAGCCTGAGCAAAGAGTAGCTGAGCAGCCTGGTTGTGGGAAAGCCCAATGCCACCACGGCAAAAGGAGCCCTGGTGCCTGCAGGGCTCACCTCTCCGTCCCCCCCCTGCTGGCATGCTGCCGGGCTCAGGGTGTGTGTGTACTCTCCGGTTGCTAGGCACGGAGCAGAGAGTGCTGCAGGGAACGCGGGTGATGGCAGCGCCTGAAGGGTGCAGGGAGAAGAGGATTAAAGGTGTCCCTGTGGATTGTGCTGTGATGACTCCACCGAGGAGCTGCTCTTTTCACTGTAAAGTCATAGGGGAGAGGTCTCGGGGGCAGCAGTCAGGACCCTTCTCTTTGTGACACAACCCTATCTGCCCCTTTGTCTGCTTTTTCCCCCTGCCTTGCTCTCATGGAAGGGCACCAAGAAACCCTTGGGAAATGCCATCCTGGAATTAAGACCAGCTGGTGGATTCAGGCTCTTCCCTGGGTACAAGTGTGAGCATCATGAGGGTATCAGGGAGGACATAGGAACTGGGCTCAGGTGCTGCGGGTCCAGGAGTCCCTGTGACCTGAGCTGCCTTTTATCCTGTAGGATATCTATCCTATATTCTATATTCTATAGGATCCTTTTCTCCTATAGCAGCTTGTTTTATTTTGCTGTTTGCACAATGCAATGTTCATAGGGTGGGATTCTGGGTCTAGAGTGGGTGATATATAGGGGATGATGCAAGAGCTTTTCCATGGCACCCTCCCATCTCCTGTGAGATGCGTTTGTCAGCTGGCTCTCAGCAACCTCTCTAAAACCTGCTGTTTTCCCCCAAAACCTGAACCACCCTGGACCTGCCAACCTTGTGTGCACAAGCCATTGCTTTAGGGAGGTGCTTTTGTTCTCCCTGCCCTTGCTGTAGAGGGGACAAACATGCAGGTCAGTGAGCTATCCATGACAAACACATCCCAGGTATAGGTTTTGGATGGAAGAAGCTTTGGGATGTTGCCAATGGAAACCTAGGGAGAGCTGTGCCTGGTTTGGATCTGATGTTCCTCACTGCAGGCTACCACCATGGAGTCATTCTGCTGCCAGAATGGTCCTCCTTAGTGTGGAGTGGTGCTCCTGGAAATTCCTTGGGAATTTCCTATGGGATTATACTCCAGATATGCCTGCATGTACCTATATACATATAGCCTGCTTTGGGAGTAGGACAGAGAAGATGTATTTGTTGGAGTAATCTAGGAGCAAATATGGGCATTGTTATCTCCTATGTTAGACGTTTCTCCCCTTAATGATGGGCACGTTTCCAGCTCTGGAGCCTTTTCCTCTCATTTTCTTTCCCAAATGGTTCATGAGAATCTATTGAGGATTATGGAATGTCTGAAGCTTGTTTGCTGAAAGCTTCTGTGGAGGAAATGTGTAATCCTGAAGGGAAAACAGAGGTAAGCTCCTTCTGCCAGCTTCCTACTCTGCCTTTTGGGAGAGTCATTCCATGAATCCAATGAAGAGACTGAGTTAAAGGAAGAGGTTTCCCTGCACATGCAGCAGGGAATTTCACCCTGAAAGCACTGCAGGAGGCAAATAAAAGCAACGTTAATATCGTTTTAACTAAGGAGAGCATCTTCCTCCTGCTTTACAAGGCTCAGCGGCTGGGTGCTCTCAGCAATCACAACACCCAACGGTAGGTGTCAATGTTGCTCGCTCTTCCCTGTAGCTGGAATTCTTCCCTCGCAGCTTTCGGCTGGCGTTTCAGGGAGCAATGGGCTCGCAGGCCACAAAGCTTCGCTGCTGCTCCTCTCTGTTCCATCCCAGATACAGAGCTGAGGTCCACAGCCCAGTTGCGGCACTTCCCAATGCAATGGATGCTTCATTCTGCCTGCAGGGAACAACCAGGATGAAGGTTTGCTCGGTTCATCCCTCCAGAGCTGTGTAACCTCCACAGGACATGAGTGGGTTAGAGTGAAAGAGGAGCTATTGAACAGTCATTTTGCTGATAAGCTCAGGAATCATATCCCCTATAAAAGAGCATCCCAGTGCCTTGGCAGAGTGATGCTAAATCCATGATTTCGGGCTACCGCGGATGTTTAACTCATTTCCCTGTATCTCTAACAAAGGATTTAAGCTACTTTCTCCTTCACCTTTCCTTACCAACACAGTGAGTATTTACTACAAGGGGAAATGTGCTGGAATAGTCAGTTTATAGCTAGAAACATTCATTTCCCTGGCCCCATGTTACATGTGTGCATGTAATGTGCCTATTCAAGAGGCTTTGGGTGAAGCACGCCTAAATCCTGTGTGGCCTTGGCATAAGTCCCTTATTAATCTGCTGGGAAAAGGGGATTTGGAACCACCTCTGTTGTGTGTATGGTTCCCAAACCTTTCTCTGTTGGGCACTGTGGAGCAAGCCCTGGTTTTCACACTGGCAGAACATGAGACAAAGCAGCCCCAGCAGATGAGTCACTGCAGTGGTGAATGTCACATCCTGACTGCAGCTCAGCAGGTCCTAACCACTGCCTGGTTTGCCTCAGAGCTCAATGTGCTTGATAAGCATTTTATCATGAAGATCAGAGCACTGTTATCTCCTCCTTCCTGGCAAACTACATCTGAATCCATCCACCTCCTTCCTGGCCATAGCAACAGCTTCAAACTCCTCCCCAGTGCTTGAGCCTTCTAGGGTTCAGCTCCTGCTCCAAGGCCTGGAGAAGGGAATGTCCTGCTGATGCCAGCACATGTCAGTGGCCTATACCTTTATGGTATAAACTGCCTAAACTGTGCTGTGTCAAACACTGAACCTTTGGGAGCAGCCAAAAGCAGGCAGAGCAAAACCGACGACTCTCTTGTGCATAAATGCCTGCAGCAAGCAGTAATCCTTTATCTTCACTTTGCTCTATGTGCCCTGATCAGGAAAGCTTCACTTGGGTGGGTTTATGTCTTACAAGGTCTTAGCTTTTACCTTGCCTTGTTGGCAAAGGGTTCCATGCTTGACTTGGCTTCAGATCTAAGGGAGGAATAGCAAGGAATCACTGATGCTGCTTTGAGATGTGCTGCTTCCAATGCTCAGTCTGGGAGGTGGCAGGAAATAACCTGTTCTTCCTCTGGTTCCTGTTTTAGACAGAGGGATGGTGGAGTTTCTTCCTGTCAAAAGTGGGGTGAAAGGTACCTGGAGTCTGCTCATCTTGGACCCAAAAAGAATAACTGGGAGCATCTTTGCCTCAGCTTCATTGCTCTGCACATCCTGAGGTTGGGAGTGTGGCAGAGCATTGAGGAATGATGCCCACGTTGGAAGGGACCAAAGATGTGACAGTCGGGCTCCACTTCCAGTCTGGTCTGTATGCCCTTGCTGAACCCACTGCCACTGTACTCTGTCAATGGGGTAATGAAAACGGGTCTCTCCTGCCTCCAAGCCACGTCTCCCTGTGCAGCACCCAGAGCTGGCGGTGCCTGCGGTGACAGGACCTGGGAATGAGGAGCTCGCTGCTCCCAGTCTCTTTCTGTGCTTCTGAACACATCCCTCGGTCCTGATGCTGCTGCCGGGAGGAGCATCCCGTGGGAAGCGCAGCGGAGCCAGCGCTGCTCCCTGCAGCCCGCCATGGTCTATCCAGGAGCACAGGCTCTGCAGGAAACGGCTGGGGTTTGGATTCACGGCAAGAGATGAGGAGCTTCAGAGCTCCTCAGGTTCCCTCCTCCAGCAGCAGGCCTCGGGCAGGACAGCCGGGGGAGACTTGGATCCCTTTGATTCCTGTGCCCCTGGCTCATTTGTTTAAAGGTCTCCAGTTTTCAGCCTGCTCTCCCCAGTATTAACCATTAACTCCTCGGGACAAAGCCTGCATCTGTTCTGCTTCACCCCATCCTCCCGTTGCCATTTGCTCTCCCATTTGCGAGTGCAACCGGAGCGGTGCCGATGCTCGGATCCCAGCCAGTCCCTGCCTCCCCGGGGGAATTCCTGCCTTCTGCGTGTGCATTCCCAGCAGCATCACCTCTGACTCACCCGGGTTACGAAACACCGCAGCCATTTCCCCCGCTACTTCTCCTCAGCCTCATCCCTGATTCACCTCTGGTCCCAGGTATGTTTTCCAAGGGCTCACAAGGCTCTTTTATGAGGGATTTGATGCAGCGACTGCAAGCGCCCATTGCATATTCTTCCCTCCGAGCACGTCTTTCATCCTCCTCATTCCGTTGGCACCCAACTGCTATAATTAGGCTCTGTAAACAAATCTCCAGCTCCTCTCTGATGTTGTGAAAGGCTCAGACTTGATTCCTGACCACCCCGGTCCTCAGATAACCCCTGGCAGGGCACTGCAGGCATCCTGCTGACGTCCCCTGCCGCTCGGGATGGAGGCACTGAGCTCAGCCTTGCCATGGGGATAACACACTGTGTGCCCCGCAGCTCCTTCCACCTCCTTGGATCCAGGGCTTGGTCCCAGGAATCCTTTCCCGGTCTGTGAGCAAGTGAGGACAGGGCCTGGAAAGGGGCTTGTGTGCATGGGGGACCGGTTCACTGCCTGCCTGCCCCAATGCAGGTGTGTGCAGGTGGGCAAAGCCTGCTGCAAACGGGTTAGAGGGGTGAGCACGCACCCAGGTGTGCCTTTAGCTGAGGAACCACTGCATGAGGAGCCCTTTGTTGGGGCTGCTCTGGGGTTTGCTGCCTCAGTTTTTATGTTACATGGTGTTTTTATAGGCATTTTACGTGGGTTTTGTATAAAATCCATGAATTTGATAAATTTGTTAAAGGATATAATCTCCAAAACCCCCACTTCACATTGATAAAGCCTAAGCTGTCCTAAGCTATTTCTTAGAGAAACATCAGCCCCAAGCCCTCCATCTTGGCCTTCCTGCAGTCAGGATTCCCACTGGCAGGTTCAGTCAGGCTGTTCTGTGCAACAGGACCTGTTTCCCCCATCTATCTCATCCCAACAATCCCCATTATCCGCGAGGAAAGCCCCGGATGCCTCGGATTGGGAGCTGAGCCTATCTGAGAGCATTGGGTGCTAACACAGAGCCATAGACCTGGTCATCCCCATTAACCTCAAGCAGGACACAGAACCTTCTTTTCCCTGAGCCCTCCATAGGAGGCTCAGCCCCAGCACCTCCGCTCCTCTAATCCCTTCCTAAGCTCTCCTGCTGAGCCCGCATCTGCTCCAGCCCCATTCCCAAGCTCCATCCTTGAGCCATCTGTGCAGAGGGGCCATAAACTCCCATGGAACACGGACCAGGAGGGCGCTGGAGCAACTGTTGCTGAGCGGATGCAGGCGGGGAGGAGCTGCCTCCACGCTGTAATCCAATGGGAAGAACAGATGGCTCCAAGCGC